AACCATGGCAGTCTCAACCCCAAAGCCTGTCCTGAAGCCGAGGACAAACTTCTTGGCAAGTTTTGTTCAGAGGGAGTTTGTCATTGCCTTCCTCTGAGGCTGAGATAGTGTGACTTGCCCAAGGCCACCAGTGGTTTCCATGGCTGAGTGGGGAAGAAGAGTCCACCACCCTCCAAGGCAGCCCTTAATAGTCAAGAAGTTCTTTCTAGTATTCAGGTGGAATCTCTTTTCTTGTCATTTGAACCCACTGGTACATGTTCTGGTCTTTGGAGCAGCAGAAAACAAGTTGGCTCCAGCTTCTACATGACATCCATTCTGGTATTTAAGGATGACTCTCCCCTCACCTAGAACTATAGGCAGGGTTGGAAGGGACCACAAAGGCCATATAGTCCAACCCCATTCTGCCATGCAGGGATACACAACAAAACCTGAGAGATACCCATCCAACCTCTGCTTAAAAACCTCTTAAAAAGGAGAGTCCATCACCCTCCAAGACAGTCTCTTCCACTGCCAGACAGTTTAGATTGTGGCTAAACACTGTCCTCAATTTAGGGGGACATCTTTTCTTGCAGTTTGGATTCATGTCTTATTCTCTGGACCAGCAGAAAGCAAGCATGCTCCATCTTCTATACCAGTGCTCCTGGAAGCAATAATGATCCATGGACCCATGCCAGTCCATGATGCATTGGCTGCCAGTCCATAGTAAGTTTCCAGGAAAGAAAGAAAGAAAGAAAGAAAGAAAGAAAGAAAGAAAGAGTTGTAGCCAATGGGCACAAACATGGTGCCAGTCCCTGACACTTTGGAAAATATAACTTGCTGTTCCACCATATCAGAACGATTAAAGAAGCCTACTGTTCTGCATGCCCTCCCCAAATATTATGGATATAATGCCAACATGTTATTATCACCATGGCAAGCCAGTATCAGGTTGACACCAAAACATCCAGCAAAGCCTGGCTGATGAAAGAAAGAACTCTCTTCCCCTGGTCCTGAAAAGATCATGGCCTCGAATAAGAAAGCCAATGCAATTCTAGGCTGCATCGATAGAAGTATAGTATCTAGATCAAGGGAAGTCATAGTGCCACTGTATTCTGCCTTGGTCAGGCCTCAGCTGGAATAACCCTTTGTCCAGTTCTGGGCACCACAATTCAAAAAGGATATATTGAAAAGCTGGAGTGTGTCCAGAGGAGGAAACCAAGGGAGCTGGGGATGTTCCACCTGGGAAAGAAGAGGTTAAGAGGGGACATGAAAGCCCTGTTATTTAAATATTTGAAGAGATGTCATATTGAGGGTGGAGGGAACTTGTTTGCTGCAGCTCCAGAGACTAAGGGTCGGAGCGGACAGACAGAAAAGAGTGGCCTGAGTCCACTCCGGCCAGAGGCAGGCCATGCTTGCTCAGGCTGACTGGCGCTTCCAGGAGCCGGATTATTCTGGCTCCTTTTTGCTCCGGTGCAAAGAACTGGAGTGCATCCTTGGTGCTGCCTCTGGCCACTTTGGAAATGTGTGTCCTCTAATCTACATACCTCCAAAGTGGCCAGAAGCTGCTCCATTAGGACCGTGTGTTTTGCCCCCAGGACCTGGAGCAATGGATTCAGACCTACAGGAAAAGAGATTCCAGCTCAACCTTAGGAAGAACCTCCTGATGGTAAGAGCTGTTCAGCAATGGAAGATGGTGGTGCCTCAGAAAGTGGTGGAGTCTCCTTCTTTGGAGGCTGTTTTTAAGCCGAGGCTGGAGGGCCATCTGTTATAAGGAGGGCTTGCATGGCAGAAGGGCCTTGGACCGGATGGCCTTTGGAGACTCTTCCAACTTTAGGGTTTTGGGGGTCTGTGACAGCTGAGGCTCCCTGGAATTGTTCTTGTGTGCCTTCAAGTCATTTCTGCTTATGGCAACCCTAGGGAGAACCTATCCTGGGGTTTTCTTGGCAAGATTTCTTTAGAGGGAGTTTTGCCATTGCCTTCTTTGAGGCAGAGACTGTGGGACTTCCCCAAGGTCAAGGTCAAGGTCAAGTGGTGATTTGAACCCTGGTCTTCCAGTGTCCTGGCCCAGCGTTCAAAGAACAACCCACTATCTCTTTGAGAGGTCACTGTACTGCTTTTTTATTGTAATCTTCCCTAAAATGATTTTTAAAATAATTTTTCATTGTATATTTAAAAATAATTTTTGATAGTCTAACTCTGTTTGAATGTTGATTTTGCATTAACTAAAACAGAGCTGGGCAACTGTGGGAGGTGAGGGGGGTTGCATTAGCCTCCTGGAGACTTTGGAGGCCCGTAGGCCTGTTGCAAATAAATAAATAATTTAATTTAATTTAATTTAATTTAATTTAATTTAAAAATTCCCCTGAAATGCCACAAACACCCTGAGGGTGAAGACTGAGAAATCTATAGCTAGCAAACACTGCTGGCAATCTGCGGAAGGGTGATGTGAATATTCTGGTTGCATTGTCTATATACATTTCCCCAGACCTTTGGGGAATATTGCTCTTTCTTCTGTGTTCTTATTTCACTCCAACTCCAGTCTAAATATTCTAATAGCCAGCTTGGTGATTCTTGGGGTTGCAGTCTAAAAGAAGGCAGCATATTCAGTTTTTGCATTTCTCCACATGCATAAACACACCTTGAACCGTATGTTTGAAATGCAATTTTTTCATCCTTATCTGCAAGGACAAATAATTTCCAGAGTTTGTTCCATGTCCTGTGAGGAAACAAATCCATTTCAATAGGCTGCATCAATAGAAGTATAGTGTCTAGATCAAGGGAAGTAATAGTCCCACTATATTCTGCTCAGTCAGGCCTCACCTGGAATAATCCTATGTCCAGTTCAGGTCATTGCAATTCAAGAAGAAATGGTGAAAAGTCTGGAAACCATAAATCCCTATGAGAAGCGTCTTAGGGAGCTGGGCCTGTTTAGCCTGGAGAAGAGAAGGTTAAGAGGAGATACAATAGCCCTGTTTAAGTATTTGAAAGGACGTCACATTGAGGAGGGAGCAAGCTTGTTTTCTGATGCTCCAGAGAATAGGACACAGAGCAACGGATGCAAGCTACAGGAAAAGAGATTCCCATCTAAATCTCAGGAGAAACTCCCTGATAGCAAGAGCTGTTTAACAGTGGAAGATGCTCCCTTGGAGAGTGATGGAGTCTCCTTCTTTGGAGGGTTTTCACCAGAGGCTGGATGGCCATCTCTCAGGAGTGCTTTCATGGCGTATTGCTGCATGGCAGAAGGAGGATGGATTGGATGGCCCTTGGGGGTCTCTTCCGACTCTAAGATGATTCAGTTCCAGGTTGCAACCCAACAAAATGTGGGAAAGGCCAATGTGGGAGAGAAGACTTCTGCAAGGCAGCGGTGGAGCTATGGAGAGAGGGCAAAAGGAAGACAAGGATTCTGCATTACAGCAACGGAAGGAACACTTCATTTGGGGATTTAGAAGTGCTGCTTGGGCATCCAGAGAAAAGGGTCAGGCAAAGGGAGAAGAAGGAGGAAGAAGAAGAAAAAGAAGAAGAAGAAGAAGGGGAAAGGGAGGAGGAGGAGGAGGAGGAGGAGGAAGAGGCAGAGGCAGGAGGGCTGCAGAGGCATTGCCCAGGGGTCAGCGGCCTTTGCTTGGAAACTGGACAGATCCTTTACCATGTCCTCCTTCTCTCATACTCCCTTGTGGGATCTCGGTGTTTCCAAGAAGATCCGGTGATGTGGTGGACCTGTTCTATCTTTCCCCCTTTAACAGATTTTTTCTCTTGCAAGGGGGAACGAAGAAGATGCAAAAAAAGTGGGATAAGATGGGAGAATTTCAGATGGAAGGTGATGGAAAAGAACTTGCCTATGGAAAAGTCCATGTTTTAGACAGGATGCTTTCCCAGTAGATGCCTCAATTGGAAACACCACGCTTTCTTTGGCTTTGCCTATTTGCCTCTGTATGGAGATGGGGGGCAATGGGACCCTCTTCTTATGGTGGCCACAGGAAAGGATAGAACTGCAAATGGGAGGATTGAGGAGTGTGTTCCACATGTGGTTGTTGCATGTGGGTTGTTAGGAGACAGGAATGTATGTTTTAGCATGTAAGCCGCCCCGGTTGTGTTACACAGAGAGGTGGGATACAAATAAATTATTATTATTATTATTATTATTATTATTATTATTATTATTATTATTATTATTATTACTACATGGTAATGATCACTAGCAAACCTGGTCTAGCCTCATTCTCGTACTGACAGCAATTTAAGGGGAGGAATTTATGACTCAGGAGAGCCAGCATGGTATAGTGGGTTGAGCATGGACTATGACTCTAGTGAGCAGGGTTCAAATCCCAGTTTGGCCAAGTAAACCCACTGGGTGACCTTGGGCAAATCACACTCTCTCAGCCTCAGAAGATGGCAATGGCAAGCCCCCTCTGAAGAAACCTGCCAAGAAAACCCCATGATAGGCTCGCCTTAGGATTGCGGTAAGTTGGAAATGACTCAAAGGCACACAACAACAAACAACAATTTATGTCTATGTCTACAGTCATAGAACAGTTGATTTGGATGGTGCCAACAGTCCTTTCCTCCCAAACAGCTCTTGCTATCAGGAAGTTCTTCCTAATGTTTAATTTGACGCTCTCTTCTTGTAATGTGAATCCGTTGGCTCAGATCCTCCCCTCTGGAGCGGCTGAAAACAAGTTTGCTCCATCTTTTGTGTGATGACAGCCCTTCAGATATTTAAAGATGGTTATATCATATCAGCTGTCAGTCTTCTTTTCTCCAAGCTAAACATACTCAGCTGCCTAAGTCGCTCCTCATAAGGCTTGCTTTCCAGACCTTTGATCATTTTGTTCAGTCTTCCCTGGACACGGTCCAGCTTGTCAGCATCCTTCAAATGAAGATACCCAGAAATGGGCACAGTATTATTCCAGGTAGGGCCTGATCAAAGCAGAATAGAGTGGAACTATTACTTCCCTCAATCTAGCCACTATACTCCTATAGACGCAGCCTAGTATCGCATTGGCTTTTTTAGCTGCTGCATGACACTACTGACTCATGTTTAGCTTGTGGTCTGCTAGGACCGCCAGATGCCTTTCACATGCATTACTTTCAAGCCATCCTATGTCTGTGCATTTCATATTTTCTGCCTAGTTGTTGTTGTTGTTGTTAGCTACTGTTAAGTTGACTTCAACTTATGGCGAATGAGGGACCTCTGAGTCCCCCAGTCATCCACAGTCCTGCTCTGGTCTTGCAAACTCAGGGCAGCCATGGTTTCCCTGGTTGAGTCTCTCTATCTGGAATGTGGTCTTATTTTTTTTCCCTACTGCCTTCTGCCTTACCGAGTGTTATTGCTTTTTCTAGTCTCAGACAGTCTCACTTAGTCATCTTGGCTTCTTGGGAGAGTTTGGGCTTGGTTTGCTGTTGGACCCACTGATTTGTCTTTTTGTCAGTGCAGGGTATCCATAGAACTCTTCTCCAGCACCACATTTCAGATTAATTCATTTTCTTCCTATCTGTTTTCTTCACTGTCCAGCTTTCACATCCATACATAGAAATGGGAAACACATGTCATGGACAGTCCTGACTTTAGTATTCAATGATACCTCTTTGCTCTTCAGGATCTTGTCTAGTTCCTTCATAGCTGCCTTCCAGCAGTCTTGTTTGCTAGAAGGGTCCATCCTATCCTCCTATTT